CTAAAACTAAATAAATATCATTTTCGCATTTTTACAATTAAAAATCTGATTTTTACTCTAAGTAAAAGTATTTTCATAAAATAAAAATCAATTCCTAAACTAATGAAACACATTTTCGGATTTTATATATTAAAAATCTGATTTTTATTAATTATTTGCTAAATTAATTATTTTATGAAATAAAATGATTTCCAAAATTTATCAAATAACATTTTAAACTTTATATAATAAAAATCTGATTTTTATACCTTAGTATAGTCCAAATTCGGCCACCCTAATAATCTAGCAAGAAAAATTGATTTTATTCTTCCAAATACCTATAAACTTATTAATTTTTGACAAATAAATTATTTTATAAAATCCCTAAACTAACATGATAGGTCCCGAAAATATTGAGTAATATTTTGCTCAATATTTTCGGCCATTCATGGTTTTTCTACAAAGATTTTAAATTATTTTATTAAAAATAAAATCTTTTAAATTCCTTTACTTCCATTCTTAAACCTAAAAATATTTGATTCTATGTCATCCTTGCACCCCAAGATTAAAAACTACCAAATGGAATTTCATGATCAAAAACTTCCATAATTTATAAACCCTAAAATGCCATAAACCCATCCCCTAAACACCTATAAATACCCCTTTCATACACCCCAAAAATCACACCAAAAACCTCAAGAATCCTCTTCTTCTTTCCCCCTCTTTCTCACGGTTTTCCTCCTCTCCCTCCTTCCATTGTTCCGGCCACCGGCGACCACCCTCACCGGCGACCACCTGCTTCCGCCAGCAGCCACCAGCAGTCGCCACTCCAGCCGGCCACAACCACCCTTGCTCCTCCCTTGCATTGGTTCCTCCACCTTCCTTCAATCCCTCCTTTTCTCTTAAACTTATTTTATTAACCATTTTCTAAATATTATTTCTTATACAAATTAATTTTATAAAAACAGAAAATTCTTTAAAATTATAAAACAGAAAATTATTTATATAATGATAATTAATTCATGCACATATAGGGTAGTTTAATTAAATTGTTGTGTTTATTTGATAACCTTATATTAATTAAGGTTATAATTATGTGTAGGGTGCTCGTGATTTAGAGAAGTAGTTGTGAATCGCTCGTGATTGATCAAGGTACGTTATGTGGTTTGATACCTTCGAAAGTTGATTATGAAACTACATTTTATGATCGTATGAAATTATAATTTATTCCGTATGAAATTTTATTTGTGAAACTATAATTCATGTTCCGTATAAAACTATGATTTATTATGAGACTATAAATTATTATGTTCCGTATCAAATCATATTTTATTACATTCCGTATTAAATCATGTTTTATGTTTCGTATGAATTTATGATATTATGTTCCGTATTAAATTATGAAATTATGTCGGATTGAATTAAATGATTTGGATTTAAATCAAAAGGGCCTTAAATTGTGATTGGAAGTTATTGGAAATAATTTGCAAGTTTGTTGATGGATTTTTTTTAAAGAAGAGTTTTTAAACAAATCAATCGATATGTTGAATCCCACTTAGGGAATGGTTTAGAGAAGACTATGGATTTTGCATGACCTAGTCTTTCCTCAAGTTTGGCCTTTGATTATAAAGTAAACCACTTGGGGGGTGTGCACACTTAGTGAGGAATTGGTTTGGTATGAATCGATTGAGTTTTACTTGAATTAAAAGAATTGGATTGAAAAAGTTCTATTTGAATACGGCATTGGTATTTCTTTTATTAATTAAAAGTAAATGATTTAAATTACGTTTTACTTATCTTACACATGACTTAGTTAGCATACTTGCTAATACGTGCTTTTGTTTTGGCTTTGCCCTGTTTATCATTTATGGTAAACAGGTGAATTTTTCAGGTGGAAATTGATTGATGCATACGGGAGTCCACGGGAAATTTCACCTAGCTAGGAAAAGTTTGAGTCATCTTTGTGTCACGAATTATGAATGAATTTTTATTATGGTTATTTAATAAAGAATAAAGTTTTTCCGCTGCAAAAGTATTTTGTATAAGCCTTGCGTTATACGCGGCGGTAATACGCCCAAATCTATCTCTACGGTACTTATACATATTTTTCTACAATCTACGTAGAGGGAGATTTGGGGGTGTTACAATCATGCTTGTACACCCTAAGGTAGTGTGCAAAGTACCAGCCTTCGTGCCCCGAGCCACCACCATAGCTCCCTTCGACACCTTCCAAGTACCCTCACCAAACATGGTTTCAAAACCACTTGAGTCTAGTTGACCCACCGAAATCAGATTCTTCCTTAGCTTAGGTATGTACCTAACATCTTCAAGTTTCCATGAGCTCCCACTTGAAGTCTTGATCATGACATCTCCCTTCCCCACAATATCCAACAGTCCATCATTCACAAGGTACACCTTTCCAAACTTGTCGCTCTTGAAGTTTTGGAAAATCTCCTTACATGGAGAAGAATGGAATGAAGCTCCCGAATCAAGGATCCAAGACGCAATGGGACTATCAACACTCAAGATCAGTGCATCACCGATTTCATCGCTTGATGCCAAGCTAACCGATGAACTAGCATCATCGTGGTTCTTGTGGTTTGAACCACCCTTCTTCTTGGGATTAGGACATTCTCTCTTTGTATTCCCTTTTAAACCACATTCCCAACACACAATGTTCACCTTCCCTTTCAACTTACTCCTCCCTCTAGACTTCGATCTTCCTCTTTGAGCACCTCTTTGTTGTCTTCCACGTCCCCTACCTCACTAGAATAAGCACCTTCCGATGACTCACCCGAGTTCTTCCTTCTCAAGCTCCCACTCAAGATTAAGTCCTTCACATCATCACACTTCAACTTCGACTTTCCAGAAAAGTTGCTAATGGCGGCTACAATGGTATCCCAACTTCTAGGCAACTATGACAACAAAATCAAGGCCCTCACTTCATCATCAAACTTGATCTCAACCAAAGCTAGTTGAGAGATTATCGAATTGAATTCATTTATATGTTCGGGGGCGGAACCACTATCATTCATCTCAACTTCAAACAAACGACGCATCAAGCACACCTTGTTCATAGCCGATGGCTTCTCATACATATTGGACAATGCTTTGATCACACCAATCGTCGTTGTCACATCTTTGACATTGTAAGCAACACTCTTTGCCAATGTCAATCTAATCACTCCAAGAGCTTGTCTATCCAATACTTTCCACTCATCTTCCTTCATACCCCATGGTTTACTAGTAAGGGGAAAATATAGGTTCTTTTGATACAATAGTCCTCTATTTACATCTTCCAAAACCCAAAATCCTTCCCATCAAACTTCTCAATTCTTAACTTGCCTTCTTCCATTGCAAATCAAACACACAAAGTTGTCAGTAGGTTTTCAACAACAAAGAATGCAACTTGACACCGAAGATTCAAACTTTGAACACCTAAAGACCCAAACTTTGTAACTCAATCACAAATTCAAGTTTAACACAAACCCTAAATCACTAAAACACCAAAGATTAAACTTGGCTCTGATACCAATTGAAATGATTAAGGGCTCAAACTAATTGCAATCAACCCACAACAATGAAGAACGAACAAGCACAACAACTAAGAACAACCATGAAGAAATTAAAGCAAGTAAAAAAAGGGAGACAATGTTACCGTGGGAAAACCCGAGAACCGAGAGATAAAACTTACCTTTGCACTATGGAGTAGTATTGAGGATAAGATTACAAGCATGAATGGTATGACATTCAAATGCTCCTCACAAATCTCTCACAAACCCTCTCTATGTGTTTATGTTTTTGTGAATCCATATTAAAGAGGCTTAGTAAAACTATATAAAGTCTAGGTATTAAATGACAATCTAAGGGCTAGCAATTAATCAAGCACACAGGCTGAAATCGCATCGTAGAAATAGAGCAGCAGGGCTTCGACCGACCCTACCCAGAGTTCGATCGAACCTAGGGTAGTCCGGTCGAACTCCCTTAAGGTTTGACCGCACCTATGCTAGAAAATGGAAGTGCTGTTACTGCCTCAAAACATGGTTCGATCGGAGCCATGCATGTTCGGCCGAACTTTTCACAAGTTTGGCCGAACTCCTTCTTGTTCGATCGAACTCACAACCAATAGCAGCTTCTAGCTTCTCACCTTATGCCTCAATGCATTGATTCATCTCCACACTAATACTAACACAATTAACTTAGCCAAGATTGAATTTTTACTTTAAAACGTTATATACTTGTATTTACAACAAAATACATACGTCCTTTTCTTTACTTGAAACAATGCTTAGAATCTTATACTGGTTACATAATTAAAAGAAAATGATAGTTAGGTGATCTATCCTGTTAGTTCGATTTAATGTATATATTATCAAAATATCGATATTTTTTTTAATTTTATTTATTGATACTAAATTAAATTTATGATTGTAATGAGCATTACAATTGACAAGCATGAAATTCCAAACAATATAATCCAATAAACTAATCAGAGAAAGTAGATGAAAACAAAGGATCGGATAAAGTTGAAAATAGTTATTGAAACATAAAGGACGACAAACAGCTAAAGTTTCTTGGAGTACATTGCCTGATATTAAGCATGACTTATTGAATTGACTGACCAAATTGCCAGAGAAATTAAGGCTGGCCAAGAAATATATTCAGAGTAGGGTGGTGTCGCCAGTGGTGGGCCTAGTGCTGTCGTTAGTGCTCATCGACGTTGTTGACAGCCCATGTGTGCTCTGTCTTCAAACCAAGTAAAATGAAATGCTCAATCCATGCCACGTAAAGATTAATAAAGTTCATGGATCAACTCAACTAAAAGTATTAGCTTATAGTTTAAGCTCAAGTAAAATGAAATGCTCTCTCAATATCATATTAAGATGTTAAAGTTTATGGATCAACTTAAAGTATTAAATTAGCTTATAATTCAAGCTCAAAATTGATTTTTATACTCTGTTACTATATTTATACTGTTATACATATAGAGAGCTATATTCTCACAAAGAAAAACGTAAAAGTAGATTAAAATTGTGCGAATTATCAAATAAAAACTTAAGGATAATGGTACACAGACATAAAGAAAAATACATAAGCAAGTGTCACAAACCTGAAATACATATAATCCAACGCATATATATAAATGCATATAATTAATTATGTATAACAATGCATTAAATATATATTATTCTAATTATTCATTGTAAGCAGAAACATTTGGGATTGGTTCAAATTCGTCATCAAATAACTTCTTGGATGCTAGTTTATCATGATGCTCTACTAAGTCGTTGCAATCTGCCTTCTTTGATTTCAATTCGTTTGAATTCACATGTACATTATCATCATGGTAAGCTGAAGCATTAGGAATTGGATCAAAGTCTTTGATAAAATTTGTAATTATTGCTTCTTTCTTTTCATGATTTTCGTAAGACCTCTGATTTATAAAGTCCTTGAGAGCTTCAGGCATCGGTTGCCCCTTCATCATGTCTCCCCAATATGTTTGCGGGTCTTTCCTCCCTTCACTCGAGCTCGCAAGCTGTACATTTGTAAATTGACATTAATACATACTTCGTACTAAGTACATTCTAATCAGGACTAGTATAATTTGAAGGAACAACTTTAAAGTTGGTTAACTTGAATAACAATGTTCGAATAAACACGCACATTAATTAACAAGTATGTACGCGTGTGCAGTGTATGTAGTATATAAACTATGCATGAATAAGCTTAATTAGGGTGCATCTTAATAAGATCCCATATGACACTTATATATATATATATTTAAGATATTCTCTTATATTTTTAAATGATTGTAGGATTTCAAATAAGAACATAAACCAGAACCGGAGGGAGTATATACGAAGTATAACTTAAGCCGGTAAAACATATTCGTATTAAAAAAAAAAATACAAACAAACAAAAATGAGGGTACGTATTATTTGGTTAGCATTCTCTTTTATCATACAATACTTCATAGCTTAGCTTATATAATTATGTGTACAATGTATACAAATGTTATAATTGCATAAAAAAAATGTTATACTATACATTAATAAACAATAATGAGATAGCTAGATAACATATATAATATAATACTAGAAGAAAAAATAGTTAACTATATACACTCCATACTTTATTTATTAGTCGATTCTATGTATTTTATATTTCAAGCCTTAGCTTCTTAATTAATTATTATGTCTATTAAAAAAAAAAAAAGAAAAAAGAAAAAAAAAAAAGAGTTATGTAAATGCTTACCAAGATAAGCGAAAGAAGAGCAATGTAAAGGACTTTAATGTAAGATTCCATATCTATCTGCAAATCACTACTAGTAATCTAAGTATGATATATGAAGTATTATTGATTTGTTGTGTGGAATTAAAATGTTATTTTTTTTATCCTATTTATAGAACTTTAGGGCAATCAAATGACGATAAATAAATTAATGGAAAATTCCCTATTTCTCATATTGAGAAACGAAATTTGTTTCTCATGGGGGTATTTTCGTGAATAAATCAACAACTTTTTCATTATTGTGGGCTTTACAATTAAATAAAATTGAATAAAATTGTTGGTTTACAAAAATATCACGTGAGAAACAAATTTATGAGAAACTAGGGCATCCCCTAAATTATTATTTCTTTTTATCAAATAGCCAATGAATAATGCACACAATCAATCTTCTCCTTTACAAAAACAAAATAATTTAACAATGAGTGTACTATGACACATAATTTCTGCAAGGGGGACCAATCTTTAAAAATCAAATTCAGGGGCAAAAACAAAATGTCAATCATAGGTCAGTAACGATTGGACAAATAAATCTTTCACATGCGAAGAAGTATATGTTATCTTATAAAGGTGCGTTATTTTAGCAGATTTTTTAGTTACGGAGTATCTTAACTTATCGGTTATTTGAACTTATCTTATGATCTTATACAACTTATATCATCCTATCTTCAATTAACTTATTTTAGCTTGTAAATTAAATGTGAGTAATCTTTATTATACCTTATTGTATAAACTTATTAGTTTAATTTTTCTGATCTTATCTTTCTTTAACATAATAATCCTTATTTGAACTCAATTATTTCTTTGAAATTAATGAAAATATAGTGAACAAAATGTATAAGACCTAATTAAGGGTGTGTTCTATTCATTCACCTTAAATACAATAAAATGGCTAATTAGGTCCATTTTTATTTTATTTTATTTTTAAAACGGCTAATTAGGTCCAATTAGGTGTACATACAACATGAAAATCAGGGATAACCATGTCTAATCATGTTAATAAGCTAAATTCAGATAAGTTCGTTAAGTGAAGAGAACACACCCTAAGTAACCTTAAATTCAACTTTATGGGTCAATCCAATGGGACTGATCATGAGCATGTCCTTTAGAAAACATAAATATGAAGATTTTTTTTTAGCATTTGTAGGAACCAAATTGTTAATGTGTTACGCTTCCTCTGTTTCGAAATAAATAATGTCTCAATCTGCCATAATTTATTACATACGGAACATTAACTACAAAGTAAATTTTTCAAAAAGTATAATAAAAAGTTGATATTTGAAAATTTTACTTTGAGACATACAATTCTAACAAGTAATCATATGTGACTATATTTAATCGACTTTAGGTACAATTGAAGTTCAGAGTGGTCTAGTATTATTGGAAACTCATTTTGAAACGGATGGAGTATTGTTTATAAATTATTAAATTTAACATTAAAAATAATAGTACAGTAATTAAGACCGAGCGATTTTGAGCCTTTTTATTTTGATATGAATGGGGTACTTACACTAGCATGCATCTGATATCAATAATAATTATTTCTTCAAACGTTAAGGTTCATTACATTAAAGTTTGTGCGATCGTAAATTGAAGTTCATTCATGAAATAAAGTTTTTAGAGTTCATTACATTAGAAGTTTGTTTATAACTTTGGGAGTGATTAAAGTTCTCTTTGGTCATAGAACTATTCATAGATCAATCTTTATTCAAAAAAAAATAAAAAATAAAAAAAAATAAAAAAATAAAAAAACTATTCTTAGAAAATGATACCTTTTTCTTTAATCTTCATAGTTCTCCCTAGTTATAGTTCATTTATAGAGATGATCTCAGTACTCATATATTAAAAGATTTTATTTTCATATTATGTATAACGATACATCAGGAAAACGTACTAATATTGCACTCATATGTTTAATTCAACACTTCCTTGTATATATATAAAACTGCTATATATACGAGTACTCTCACAAAAGAAAATGTGAAAATAAAATTTAAATTGCGCGAATTATCAAAAACTAAGTAAAACCTTTAGGTCACATACATAATGAGACCTCTTTTAGGATGCATGGTACACAAACATATAGGAAAATACACAAGCAAGTATTACAAACCTGAAATAATACATATATATAATCCAATGCATTTTCTTTTTCTTTTGTCTAATTAGTCATTGTAAGCAGAAATATATGGGATCGGTTCAAATTCGTCGTCAAATTTCTTTGATGCTAGTTTATCATGATGTTTAGAGTTGCAATCTGCCTTCTTTGATTTCAATTCTTTTGAATGCACATTATCATCATGGTAAACTGAAATATTAGGAATTGGATCAAAGTCTTTGATGAATTCTTTGATTGTTTCTCTCTTCTCATGGCCTTCATAAGACCTTTGATTTATGAAATCTTTCAGAGCTTCAGGCATCAGTTGATCCTTCATCATGTCTCCCCAATATGTTTCCGGGTCTTTTCTCCCATCACTTAGGCTCGCGAGCTGTATATTTATAAATTGACATTTATAATACTCGTACTCTGTACATTTTAGTGAAACTGAAACAATTTGAATAATGGACAATTTAAAAGGTAACTCGATTCAATGATTGTTAATTTGTTATTAGAATAAACAAAGATTATTGTATAGCAATGACATTCGGTCATTTATTGTTCATCATCTCAATTTTTTCCCCAAAAAATAGATTATGTATTCAAATACAGAGACTTTTAAAAAAGAAATGGTATAGACAATGTTAAGGAATGATACAAATCGAATACAAACCCTTTAGTAAAAAATTAATGAATACCATTTTTAAAATAACATTAACAAGCACAGCACATACATAAATTTATAAACTACATGTTTGCATCCCCAAAAAAAAAAATTAATAATAAACTACATGTATATGGATGAATAAGCGTAGGGTACATCTTAAAAAATAAACACCCTTTAATTTTTCATACTAAATTGAAATTACATAGATGGAATTCAAATAAAACCATCACTCTGTAACTCTGTAAGTACTAAACTAAGCTTGTAAAGTATTTTTAAAAAAAATACTCCCTTCATCGTAAAATATTATCAATGATTATTCAATGTGTAATAGTTTGTACACTGAAAATTTTAAATTATAACCATTTCCTTTCAAATTATACAAATGATCGATGGTAGCAGATAGACCTGGGCACGGGCCGGGTTGGCCCGCGTGCCGCCCGGCACGGCCCGAATTCAAGCACGCCACGGCACGAAGTTCAACTCCCGTGCCACGGGCCGTGCCACGGACGGGGTTGAGAATTCCCAGGCACGGCCCAGCACGAGCACGGCCATGGCCCGCCGTGCTGGCCCGTCGTGCCGGCCCGCGGGCCAACGGTAATGTTACCGTTTATTCTAGCTCCTTAATAAGCCAAAAAAACGGCTAAAAAACGGCTAGTTTTTTGCCAATTTGCTCCCCAAAAATTCTATAAATACTCACCTCCATTTCATTCCCAAATCACAAAATCACAATCTCTTCTTCTTATCTCTTATATTCTCTAAATCTCTAATAATCCTTATTTTCTTAAATTCTCTAATTATTCTCTTAAATTCTCTAATTATTTTCCTAATATCGGAAAAAATTAAAAAGTTTGTAATCGTAATTAGTGGAGCGTTGAAGCACGGTTGTAAGATCTAAACTAATCTTAAATTTATTATTGTTTTATTGTTATTATTAGAATAATCTTGTTTAATTATTATTGTTGTTAATTGTTATTGTTGTTGTTATAATTGTTGTTATTAATTATTATTATTGTTACAATTGTTGTTATTATTTTTTTTTTGTTATTGTTATTGTTATAGTTGTTGTTATTAATTATTATTATTGATATTTTTATTGTTAAAATTGTTGTTATTAATTATTATTATTATAGTTAACCACTTTTTATTAAAAAATTAATTGTTAATTATGGCATCGAACAACCCATCATCTAGGTGTAGGGGGAAAGGCTGACTTATCCGTAGTAGTAGTTCTAGGGAACCACCAAATACAACGAGCCCCCAAATTACGAGTCAAACCAATGACCCCATTTACATCCCCCCGGGCTATGAGCCATATAATACGTCGGGATTTCCAGCACCACCACTAAACCAATTTCCACTACCACCATACCAATTTCCACCTAATTATATCGGTGATCAACAAAACTATTGTTCTAGCCAAGGTAGCCAAGAAAGTACCCGAATTCCCTCCGGTTCTACCCCTTCTACTGCCACTCCCACTAGTCCCACTACTAACCATCACACACATCATGAATGGTTAACCGAAACTGAGATGCTACTTTTGAAAAACCGAAGGAGTGAGGTATGGCGTTATTTTGTCCTAAGTAAAGATGGTGAACAATGGGCAAAATGTAAAACATGTAATAGTGTATTCACGGCAGTTACCAAAAACGGGACGGGACACTTATCTAGACACATGAAAGCTTGTGCAAAACCATCTAGTGATCCAATCCAACCCAAAATTTCCCAATTCCATCCATACGGCTTTACATACAACTATGAGAGGGATAGGGATGAAATAGGAAAAATGATAGTACACGCCGAACAACCTTTTCTTTTCTCGGAAAGTGACGCATTCAACACCTACATTAACAAAGCACTACAACCCCAACATAAAAGAATCTCTAGGAAAACCGTTCGTTCCGCCGCAATGAAAAATTTCCTAGAGTACAAAGTCCGGTTACAAGCCGAATTGAGTAACCTTAACTGTAGAGTATCTTTAACAGCCGATTCTTGGGATAGTGGTTATAAATATCACTATTTATGTGTGACTTGCCATTGGGTAGATGACCAATGGATGTTACAAAAAAGAATAATACATTTCAAAATGCTGGAATACCCACACACCGGCATTAACATTGCTCACCATTTAATGCAAGCAATAGACGAATACAACCTTCGAGATAAAATGATGTCTATGACTTTTGATAATGCAACCTCTATGACATACACAGCTAATCTTATCAAACAAAACTTAACCGATGTACTATTAGACGGTGAAGCTCTTCATACTAGATGTGTTTGCCATGTACTTAACTTATGTGTACAGGATGGAGTTCGGGCAATTGGCCCATACTACAGCAAAATCAGA